CCGCCGCTGTCGCAGCTATCTGCTCCGCGACGCCGCTCGACGATGCGGGCTCGTTGCTCGGGTCCGCCATGTTGCTTGTTTTGGAGTTTTCCCCTGAGCGAACGCGAGAAATGCGCAGATGTTAAGAGACGCCGTTCCTCCACCTCCACCTCTCTCTCTCTCTCTCTCTCTCTCGCTCTCTCGCTCTCTCGCTGTCACTCGTCCTGACCTGACGTAATGAAATGCGCGCACTGTCCCTTTCGCGATCCTCCCGTCTCTCTTTTTCTTCTCCGCTGACCGTTTTTTCTCACCCTTTCGGGTTTTGGGTTTCGGGACGCACCAGCAGCGCCCGGAACTCTAGCGTGCCGGATGCTGAGTGCTGACTGTGCCGCGACGGAAGCTAATAATTTTTTTTTTTTTAGGATAACCCTGACATAAGTGCGAGTAACCTCGTACATATAAACACTGTACACAAATATATATGTGCATACATATATATATATATATATAGAGAGAGAGAGAGAGAGAGAGAGAGAGAGAGAAAGTATTCAAAATTAATTTAACTTATAATAAATTGTGCAGGTTTCGAAATGTCGTAATCCTCGATCTCCCTTCCGTACTTTTCAGTCGTGCCTGCATACGGATGTTTTACGCGATCGCATGATGTACGTGAAGACTGGGGACAGATACTTGCAGATACCTCAGAATGAGGTTATGTCGCGCAAAAATTTTCCGCGATCGAGGATCGAGGACGTGAAGTTCGGCGAATGTCGATCGAGAAAGACAATCGATTCTTATCTTATCGATGGAGCATTGGAATCGACACAGGAATCCGCACTGGGAATTGATTATACGAACGAGGCGGATAGATCATGGAGGATGGAGCGAAACTCGGATCCGCGGAAGCCCGAAGCGTGGCGTACGTCGCATATATTGGTTGGCGGAGGTCAGTGATCGCTACGTCGCTTTGTTTATGCGTGCCGAGGGATTTAAAACCGGGCTCAACCGGAATTTAAAACTGCGTCGGAGTTGTCGGAGGGATGGCCTCGAGAATGGAAAACTCGAATAAGTCAGAAGAAACGTAAAATAAATATACAGTGAGTGCAGAAAGTATTCGCACAAAGAAAATATTTTTTAAAAAACTTTATTTTTAAAAAGTAAATATTATCTAGTGAGAAATGAGTCATCTAATTAATGTCGAATCGATATAAATACGGTGATTTCAACATCAATTTAACGTCGATTCGATGTTTAATTGACGAGAATTTCTTGTTGAATAATTAACAATTTATTCATAAAGAATAAAATAGACTGTATGTTTCTTAAAATTATATATACCAAAAAGATGTGTATTAATTATACAAAATATATCATTTGAAAAATAAGCGAAAATTTAAAATTGTATTGTTTGAATGCTCAAAAAGTATTCGTACAGACGAGAAATTTAGCTTCTAAAGTCAGGAATACATGCGGAGCTCGTTTGTTTATGTTAGAACAGAATGTATTTATTGTATAAAATTGCTAATTAATGTTTATTTTCTACAAATAAGGCTTTTTTTTACAACAAATTTCCTTATATGAATACTTTTTGCTCTCACTGTATATATATATGGTATGTGTGTATGTGTATATGTAATAATATAATAATAAATATATATATACATGTACACAATATATAATATATAATATATATTGTGTATGTTGTGTATAATTGATATGACTTATTTAAAATAAAAAATATAAAAGATTCCGAAAATTTATTTAAAATATATATTTTAAATATGACGAAGTACACACGCACGCATGTACGCACACAATAAACAGATATATGTATATAATAATATGTATTTATATATTTATTTACTACCATAAAATAAAAAAACATTATTGAAACATAATTTTAGTTTGATAATAAGTTACTAATTAATTCTTAGTTCGCGCTTCAGAAAGCAAAGAGAATGATTTTTGAAAGTATAAAGAACGTGGGCGAGATAAATACAGGCTGCAGCAACCCTTTCCCCTCTCCATATGAATAAAAGCCAGACAGGAAACGGAGATAAACTAAGAAGAGTTACAACAACGAAACATATATATGTACGTAAAAATCAAAATATACATACTATATATCAAGATGGAATAATTCAATCGAATAACTATTATTAGAATTAGCGAATTAAGTCTCAATCGTGTAATAAAATCACGGACCAATCGATCGCTCGGGGCTATCGGAAGCGGGACGGGGTCAGTGATCGAGCGAACGCTTTGTTTACGTCTAAACGCGCCGTATTTTCTGCAACGATAATCCCTTTCCCGGATTTCGTCTCGTTTTGATTCATTTCGGCCCACATGAAGACGCAATACTAATTTCGCACAACAAATTGCGATGATAAGGATGATACGTGCCAACTAACTGATGACTCATTTCAGAAAGTCGCGACTTTTGTCATCAGTATCAAGATATTCAAGATAGGATAAGAACGCTGGTTTTCAAGCGAAATGAAAAGAACAATCACTTGCGGATTTTGAAAAAATTCTATCGATGAATGGCTCAGATATTTTATCCTCCTTTATCCAATGACATGACCTTCAAGCTCGACTTCCCGAACAATAGTAATGCGTAGTATATGATCGGAACAAAGCGACTGCTAGACGCCCGCGTGAGATACACGAGTAAAAGTATCGATCTACCGCTAGAAACGGCCAGCAGAAATTAGAGAAATGCATTAAAGAATTTTCTATTCAGAATTACGTTTGACAAATATATAAATTTGGCGGTGTATAATTAATTATGAAACACATGAGCGACTTGCGTAAAATTAAATCAACGAGAAAAAAATACGATGCTCGTGTTCTCAAGATAAAGTTACACAATAAAATGTGATAAAATGGGTTAACTGGACGTAATCTCGTACTTACTTGTAAGCACTCTCGTATCCGGGCGCCAAATTTTCGCCAAATTACACGGCCAGTCAACGGCGATATCAGCGACTACACGATCAGAAGAATCCAGTCGCGACCGAATCGTCCGCGAGTGAGATGAGAAGCTTGGATTATGGGGACGCGCCGCATCTGCTGCACCAGATGCACCGTACAGAATTACGAGACCCGACCAATCGCGCGAGGCTGAACGGCATGCGAGCGGGGCATACAGAGATGCATGGTGAGCTTGGGAGCCACGAGGGCGTCGAGAAGGCTGTGTTTCTTGGAGAAATGCAAACCAACGAGAAAGAAAATTCGCATCTGTCCTCAAACAAAAAGAAAATTAATGCCAAGATTACGCATTTGATTCTTAAACCAACGTTGTTTAAAGAAATAGAAAATTGATAGGGCAGGAGTATGGAATTTCACGAATATTGAACATTCGCAAAATAAAAGACTTGCACTAATTACATAGAAAATTGGATCCTGAAAATGAGTTAATTTTCACGTATAATGTAAACTATAATATGTATAATGTAACTAACAAAAAATGTCATAGTTATTCATGGTTGGTTCTTATTTCAAGATTATCTTAAGTAATATCTTAAGATGCTAATACGGCTCTGTGATTAACTTATGACATTTTGGGACTGTATTTAAGATAGTTTCAAATACCTATAAGAACTGTGATTACGAATACCAGTATATAGACACAAGATCAGTATATAGACTCAAACATGAATAGTTTCTAAGCTAAATGCTTTCCAGCAAGAGAGATACAGTATATTAGTATAACATACTTCAGCTTTAACATTTAAAAACAACAAGGATATAATGATTCACTCTATTACACTGTATTATCTGTGTTTCTTGCTGGAAAATGCATATAGTGTATTAAAGATGCTCTGTGAGCACAAGTTTTACATCATTGATACACTGTAGCAAAAATTATACATTATCGAACATATGTCTATATCTTCTATTTATCACATTATAAGCTGTATTATATATAAAAGCTAACTCATTTCACCGGAATTAATTTTCTATCCTTTATATAAAAATTACGGTCAGGTTCCTCCCACTTGACTTAGTATTTCAGAGTTTCATTAAACAATAAATGATGGCTTATCAGACTTGCATGCTCGACAATGCTGAGGATACATCAAGAAATAATATTAACTTCGCCAGATACCTTCTTTCTTTTTTTTTTATTATTTCACTTCGGTATTGTTGTAGCCGATTTATGTCACGTACTCGCACGTAATTATCTTCCTAAATTCACAAACGAATGCACATATTCAAAACTATATTCCAAAAAATTGGTCTTCAGTAACTTCTCGCTTACTAGTGTGAGAGATATTGGGACACATTCGTCTAGATTTTTCTATATAACCGTAAATGAAATAATTACATGCGAATACTGTCTAATTCTCTGTACATTCTGCCTATAGTTATTTAAAGATTCGCTGAAAAACAATTCATTCGCATGTACCAAAGAGCCGAGACGCAACAAGCTTTCGGAAAACTCACTTCGCTTTATCCCTTTTCGCAAATGTTATCCTCGATACATATAAAAATAATGCTCGTTCTTTGTTAAAAAAATTTGATCAAGCTACTACAATACTATCTGCAACGGTGAAAGTTATTTGTCGCAGAAAGACTAACATCTTTAACCACACATTTAACTGTACATTCGACTGTACGGTGCATGTGTCGCTAAACTAAAAGTCGAAAACATATATCGCCAATAAATTAGTTTGTTAACCGTGCAAACCAAATTTAATTAATTTCGCAATTAAAATGTGTAGTTACTTCTCTATCATTTTATCACACTGTTTGTTATTCGTTAAATAATATTGTATTGTATTTACATAGACATCCTGAATCACGGTATTTATATATAGTTTTCTCTACGATCTAAAGAACACTATTATTTCACGCTGAAAAACTCGGAGAAATGTACAATAGCGTATCACGCTACAAAATGTAGAAGAGTAGAAAACTTTCGATATACGCTGCCGTTACTTAAATATAAACATTTTCCTAGACATTACAACCGAGAATTCGTTTTCCAGGTGGCTGTCGACTTTGTACTTTCCATAGTATTTCTGAACTATCTTTCTCGCTACATTGCGTTTAGTGTTATTAGGAATTGACATATCTAATCTAGGTCGAATACAGGACGTTTGTCTCGCTAACAATAATGTTAATACGCTTTGAGTTATTGCTCGACGTAGTAGCTTCATTCAGGCCACGGCACGCTCGCGATAGTCTCTTCTCAATGCAACTGCAGGTCAATCAAGGATCACGATGGATTATTGTTCCACTGGATACCCGTGCGGTATCATAAATATCTTTCTATGTACATGCATAACGTGTACTTAATTTATTAATATTTACAAATACACAGCTTCTTAGATTGCGATTTTCATCCATGTGAAAGTCTCTTTTTAAGCGCGAGTTTTTTCTAGGTTTGTTTACTGCTCGTTGAAACTGCGCTTCCGCCACATTTGAGATTTGTCATTCTTTCTCTGAGCAATATTACTTACATCTGCAAATGAGACGACATGGTTATGAATTTACAAGTAGTAGAAATTTTACATGAGAAGTCTTATATGTGACTTTACCTGTCGCACCACGATTTATTTCCGTTGTCACATCACTTAACGATTCCGGTAACTTGATCTTATTGATCTGTTGTTGATTCTGTATTTCAGACACAGTAGTGAATATTATGTTGGTAAAGTTCTTCAGTCCGTTATACGATTGTTCCAATTGCTTTAACTTGCCAATTAATTCCACGTCGGTTGTACGTACCTCGTTCATCTATATTAATTAGAAATATTGACGATTAGCAAAACGCCGATCAATAGAGTCTTGTATTGATACTTGTATTGCACCTTTTTTGTTAATTGCTGAATTGATGCTAGAACGGAAGCCTGCTCAGACATTTTAACGCACTCTCCTTGCAAAGACATCATTGTTGTGTTAATGGCCGCCGTTGCTTCTTGAAGTGAAACTAATTTTTTCTGCAACGATAAAAAATAAGATGTAACAATTTGATATTCCAAACATGTATTTATTATAAAATCTACATATCACATGATACTTACGCGATCCTTGCCTTGATCATCGGCGACCCATTGCAATTTGCTCGACAGGGTTTCATTAACATGCGTTAAATTATTCATTAAATGAGATATCGTGAGGTTTAGTTTGTCAGTCTTAACTTGCGTTTCGTCAGTGCTCAATATTTGAGGCTTTTGAGTAATGTTCGACAATTCTAACATGGTGTGCTACAAAAACACGGCGATGAACGTTGAATAAGTTAATTTCATTTCTACTATTTTCATTTCCGCTTCAATATTGATCATATTTACCTTAATACTGCTAATGTTTTGTTGCATAGTGGTCTGTACATCCTGTACCCTCATGTTCGTCTCTTTTAAGGTATTCACTGTGGCCCCGAGATCCCTTATTTGACTACCAAATGTTGCAACGCTAGTTGACAACTCGTCCAAGCGTTTCGGCAAATTGGCCATCTCGGGCGCGGCTTGAAAGTACTCCTGTACTTTATGTAAGTCCTGCTGAATGTGCGCCAACTGCAAAAGTATCGATCCGGAAGGGTGTGAGTCATCCCGGTCAATAACCGGTCGCAATTGAATTATCGATGTTACTTGTGCAATTTTACCTGTACCGTAAAATTATTTATCTGTTGTTTAAGATCGGACAGTCTGGAGAAAATTATTGTTTGGTTGTTCTGAAGATCTCTCGACAACGAGTGGCATTTCTGTAAAGCGTCCGGGACACCCTCGCTGCCCGCTATCACTGTAATGTAAAAGAGATTAAGCACAAAAGTGCAAAAAAGTATAGAATTGTGTGATAGCATAACAATTCTAAGTTTTGAAAGGTTCTAATTAAAAATATTTACAGAAATCGGTTCTTCGTGAATTGAAAAAATGTTCTAAATTTTAATAAATATTTATTGGAAGTACTAACTATAAATATTTCCTAAATGTAAACATTTATTACTTTAACTATTCTTTTTTTATTAAATAAATATTTATTTATTGTAAGTAAATGTTTAATTACTATTTATGAAAAAAATATATATTAAAAGCTTTTTCATCCATTTCTCACGATAGTGTCTATGTTTCTGAACAGCGCATACTGAAAACATCATTTAAACATCATA